TGTAAAAACACTTGAATAGCCAAGATTATAGGCTTCAGACGGGTATATAAACAAATAAATAATAACTTTTTAAAAAAATGTTTTATATTGTCAAATTTAGTAATTCTATAAACAAACGAACCGACATAAATAACCTTAGTGATTTATATTTTAATCTAATATCCGATATGACCTTATAATTGTTTTTAAATTAGTAAATATTTAAAAAAGTTTTTTATGATAAATCTTTAAAGATTTTTGACTTCGCGTGAATAGAACTTTAAGTTTCGACGACATGTGAATGGCACCTTAGAATTTAGGCATTGTAAATGAGCACTCATGGTTTTGAGGTTATAACGTTTCTTTGACAGCTGGCAAAAATGATTGTTTTTTGGAAAATAATAATTTCCAGAAATGTAGACCACAATGCTGTCTAATGCTGGTTTAATGTCGTTTTATTGTTTTTCTATATGCGTTTTGAGATTATGTTTTAATTTTTGTGTGTCTGTGACTTTTTTGTTTTATGTTGACATGGTGAGAACTCTTTGTGATCTCTTTATAAGGAGAAAATGATTATGTTTGAACTTATTTTCACTTTTGTTTTACATGTTTTTTATTTTGTTTCTTTTTTAATTTGTAAAAAATCTTTTAGGTTGATTTGATATAACCTGATGAGGTCTTTCATAGAAAGACGAAAGCTCGGATATTGAAATTTTCTAAATAAAGGACCAGCGAAAACAAACACTATTTTACGGTTTTCACTACAATTTATTCTGGTCAACACCAAAATACATCTTTTAATAATAATCATTAATAATAATTATTATTTTTTTTGCACTCTGCAAGGGTAGTTAACATAACCTTTACAACCGAGTAGCATTAATTGGAAAAGTTATGAAAACATTAAAATCTTTTATAGAGAATCAATTGGCTACAAATTGATTCATGCATGAATATACCTATTGCCGTTGGATTTAAACGCCAAGAACTTGTATCGATACTACCATGCTAAAAACCCTTTATACTGGACCTTTCATGACCTTGTGTACACCGGGAAGCATAAATTTATTCTCCGCGCGCATAAACGGATATATTCTCCACGCTCATATATTCGCGTCTGCGAATATATGCTTCCGGTCTTGGACTTCACAATGAATGCTTCCATTTTGTCGCTTGCGCGACCCTGTCGTGCCGCTCTTGTTATCTGGACCTATTTTCTTCGCGTCCAGGAAAAAAACTTCTTTGCTTCTTCTAAGGCAGTTCTGAAGACTTTACAGCTTCCTGACCCTTCGACGTGGGCGACGTTAGTTTTCACCTTCCCGTCGAACTTCTCATCGCATAAAAAGTAACATGGGCTCTTCTAACAATCAGCTATCTTGTGGTCGGCTTCCCCGCACTTGAAGCACGCAGCTGACCTATCTACCGATTTACATTCTTTTCCTATCGATATATAGCCGTAATAGCACTTTACGACCATAATTATCTTCTTCACTAAACAAGACAAAAAGCCAACTCTTATGTGGCCAAGATGTTCCAGCTTTTCTGCATCTCTCTGTGTGGTTACTACAATAGCGAGCTTTACACCTCACTTATTAGGTTCTAGGAGCGTTACTTTTCTGCTTTCTACTGGCATTACCGAACCCCTATCCAGGGCATCCTGGACATCTTCTGGCTTTGTAAGACAATCCAGATCGCGGATCTCCAAAGTAGTTGGCCGGTCCACAATCTGTACTTTACCTAGGTCCTCAATTACTCTTGTCACCTCCTTGGTGAACGTCTCCTTATCAGAAGAACCTGCAAGTTTGATAAAGAGGTCTCCCTTCTAGGTGGATCTAGCTTCCCCACAAATTGTATGGCTATTCTCTGGATTTACCTTCTCATGGATCTTTCTCAGAACTGCTGCGACCGTCAAACCTTCAGCCACCTTAACGATCCTTGCTGATCTTTTTTGTGGCCTTCCTTTCTTCTTTGTTTGGTCATTAACCTTTTTTGGAGGTCTTCCATCCATCCTCTTCTTTGAAGTTTTAGTCAACTCAGGACTCTTCTACTTCTAACCTTCCAAGATATCATTTCTTAACACTACAGCGTTAAAAACTTGAGTTGTTACACTGCTTGTACTTCCTCGACTCTCCACCTTGTCTACGTTGGTGCTCCCAACGTGTTGTTACCCTCCTGCATCCATGGGCCACTGGCCACCATTCTAGCGTTAACTGATTGATGCTCGGAACTAGTGAGAAATTTAGTCGAAGCATTACCCCGCAGGTACTTTTCCTTGTTTTTATAATAATAGCTCATACTTGATGTTTTTTCCGTTTTGACGGACAATCGGGCCTTAACAAGGTACTACTACCATCTGTCCAAGACGGGCCCTGAACCGTTTCACAGTGGGAAAAAATGCAGTGTTCTGGACAAAATTCTGCCGACAACACAAATCTCCACTGATTTAGATTTTCTTTTGTTTGAAATACTAAAGAAGGTTACATACTCCATTGGTTACATAGACGTTATGGCATTGTTAAAGCATTGATGCGACCTCTATGATATCCAGTGTCTGGTAAGCTCGGACCTCGATGGACGATGTATCTCTCGCAGGACCGAAAGTAACCTTTGGGTCATAGTCACTAAGTAGACATTATTATTATTAAGTTATCAATAATATTATTACTATTGTTCTCTAATAAGAGTATAATAATAAAATAATAATAGAAGCTGAAAAGAAATTGGTTTCTTATTTTTTATACAAAAAAAACCTGGGGTAATTTTTGTTGCGGCTCGAAATGAGCTAATGGACTACTCTACAAACCTGAATGACTCATAGCGCATATCCCTATTGAAAATCCCCATATGGGAAACCACATGGGAAACCACATGGGATCCTATGTCAAAAACCATGTAAAACCCTACTTCCATGAAGGAAACCACGTGGTTTACCATGTGGTTTCCCATGTCAAACCATATGGGAAATTGAGACAGGATTTTAGTTAGGAATAGACATGGGGAATTTGAACAGTTCATCTATGCATAAAACCATATCAAATCCCACATGTTTTTCCCAGTCAAATCCTAAACCGAATCCCATGTGAAAAACAGTATCATTTATTTATAATTATTTTCCCAAGTCAATCCCCAAGTGAAAAACAGTATCATTTATTTATAATTATTTTCCCATGTCAAATCCTAAACCAAATCCCATGTGAAAAACATTATCCGCCTTATTGAATATCCCTACATGGGAATCCACTTGGAATTTTACAAGGGATTTCACATAGGATTTTATATGGGAATTGACATAGGATTTCATGCAAGATCTCACCTAGGATTTAATATGAGATATCACATAGTATTTTATTAAAGATCCAATGAAGAAATTTTCAAAGGATTAAAAATTATTTAATAAAAAATTAAATAATAAATAGTATTAGTGTTACAAGTCATCAAAAAAGTAAAAAAACGATCATTTGAAACACGTCCTCTCTGCTACAGGTTCTCAGCTTTTATATACTTCCAGAGTCGTCTCAACAGTGAGAGAAGTCACTTTCGCCACCTAGCGGTGAAAGTATAGGAGCGACAGTAATTTTTATCATTACTAAGGAAACCATGTGGAATACCACGTAGGATTCCATGTGGTTTCCTACGTGGGGATATTCAATAAGGCGGATAATGTTTTTCACATGGGATTTGGTTTAGGATTTGACATGGGAAAATAATTATAAATAAATGATACTGTTTTTCACTTGGGGATTGACTTGGGAAAATAATTATAAATAAATGATACTGTTTTTCACATGGGATTCGGTTTAGGATTTGACTGGGAAAAACATGTGGGATTTGATATGGTTTTATGCATAGATGAACTGTTTAAATTTCCCATTTCTATTCCTAACTAAAATCCTGTCTCAATTTCCCATATGGTTTGACATGGGAAACCACATGGTAAACCACGTGGTTTCCTTCATGGAAGTAGGGTTTTACATGGTTTTTGACATAGGATCCCATGTGGTTTCCCATATGGGGATTTTCAATAGGGATACGGGAGACCGGGACGTTATGAACAGCTTTTAACTTTTTGTTGTTTTACTTCGAGCTTTTTACACTATTTAACTATTAATTCAACAGAAAAGTGACTTTAGTATCTTAGTTTTCTTCTAAGAAAAAAATACATGCCCATATCCCTTCTACTTTTTTTTCTAGAATAGATTTTCTGGAACACTGCAGAGCTATCCAACGCGCCCCAGAGCTTAATGAATACTGATAATAATACTGATAATAATAATAATAATAATAATAATAATAATAATAATAATAATAAGTCATTGTTTATAAGCTCAGATGCGGTATACTTATCGATTTTTCAGATTTAGAAAAAAATTATCCGTTGAATGAATATAGTACAGAAATAGCATGAAACTCATGCAATAGTAGTTCATGAGTACATTCCTCTACAATAGATGCTAAATCTTTTTTATATTAAATCGATGACAGTTTTAATCCGTAAAAAACACTTCTCTAAAAACCGATCTTTTGACATCAGGGGGTCATGAAACGTGGAAATTTACCGGAATTAAACACTACTCAAAATCGTATAAATCCAAGATCTCATTTTTTATGAAAATGTATAAAAATAAATTTCATTAAAAAATTCAAAAAACAGCAAAATTTTTGTATTTTTTCGGTTTTTAATATATAAGTAACTTACTTTAAAAATGTGTTAGGTATTGTAAAAACCAAAAATTGCAGAAAATGACATTTTCTCAACTTTTTGTTTGGAAACTTTTCTTTAATTATTAAACTATTATAACTATCTTGTACAGTATATAAAATACATTGATTGACCCAAGGTTTAATCACTTTTACCATAGGATATATAAAAAGTTATTTATATATTTTTATTATTATTAAAATTGTAACAAAATTTTTTATTATTTATTATTATTTATTATTGTTTTTATTATTTAATATCTCTTAATAGTTATTAGTAATAAATAAATTTAAAAGCAAATATTAATTTTCTATGTTGACAGAAAAATTTCTGGAATACCGAGCAATATCTTTTGGTTGGTATAATCTACGACGTTTGCATGATAGATCGAATTCGATTCAAGTCAAAATTTATTAGCTTCGAAATCAATCTAGGAAATTCAGGAAACCAACAATTTTCTCATGAACGATGCATTTTAAATGAAAGTGATGAATCCGAAGGTTCGTTTAATATTTAATTGCTTTTCTCCCCTTTTTCCAATAAAACTCCAAATGAAAAAAATAGAAACACGAAAATTACTACTAAATTTATTTTAATTCGTAAAGTTAATAATCAAAATGAAACTTTTTATGTGATGTGAGTGTAAAAATAATTGTCAATAAATTTAACGGTAATGGAAATTTTGAAATAGAAATTTTTTTTCTCCGTGGACAAAAAAATAATCATTTACTTTTTCAGAGGAAGAAACAATGGAAACAAATCTGGCATACGAGAGTCGTACTCAACCGAGAGGAACTGGTACAATGGATGGAAAATATAATTACATGCCCCTAGGCTCAAGTAAACCCTGCATTTATGTTAAATCATGTTGGCCAAATGTCGAATGGCGAACAATCAACAGTAACGTTCTTTCCTTCGTTGCCAAATTTCTCGCAAGTATCAAAGTTTATTTAAAAAATTTCTTTAAATAAATTTAAAACATTTTTTAAATTCAACGAGTTACATCATGCTAATATACAACCCAATGAGAAATTGGCAATAGTTAGCATTGGCTAAGCAATTAGCCGAATTGGGGAGCCAACAGTTCTAATATTGGTCTAATAATGGCAACCAATGTTGGACCACTATTTCAAGGCTTAGAATGATGACGACATTGCCAAACATTGACAGCTAATATTGGATCACTATTGGCTGCCGAGGCAAATGCCGGATTTTCTAAGCCTTTGGTTATTCAATGGTTACAAAGATTGGACCAATATTAATGACCAATTAACCCCTTCACTGTGTTTGACGTCTATAGAAGCAAAAGTAATTCGTGCCACCAATGTGTATGACCGCTATAGCGGCATCTAAAAGGAAAATCACTGTAATAAATTAAATATAAATGTCAACGACTATTCTAAAGTTTTTAGGGTCGCTGAATCCGAATCTTTGATCAAAATTGAAAAATTCAAAACAGCGGCTTCAAAATGTCTACCAAACATTTTTTGAAGTTTACGAATTTATCTGAAAATGTTCATTTGGGAGTTTTTGAGGACTTCAAATCCAAATCTTTAGTCAAAATTTAAAAATTTTAAATGGTGGCTCCAAAACGGCAAACGAAAAAAATGTTTAATTTAATATTTAATTTTCAACTTAAAAGTTATTGAATTTGGCTGAAAACGATCACACTGGAGGTTTTTTGGGTCACTGAATTCGAATATTTGGTCGAAATTAAAAAATTCAAAATGGCGGCTCCAAAACGTCGACTAAAAAATTTAAAGTTAACGGAATCAGGCTGAAAATGTTCACTCGGGTTTTTTGGGGTCGCCGATAACGTATTTCTGAAATTAGTTTTTAAAACTTAAAGTAGAGGATCTAATATCAATTTTGATCAACGTTTCGGATTCAGCAATTCTAAAAACCCCTGAGTAAGTATTTTCATACAGATTCATAAACTTTAAAATTTTTTTGGTCGCCATTTTGAATTATAAAATTTTAACCAAATATTCGAATTCAGCGACTCCAAAGGCCCCAAGTGAGCATTCTTAGTCAAATCCGTAAACTAAAATATTTCGGTCACCATTTTGCATAATGATATCAAATCTTAAAAAAAAATTTAGCACATTTGTGGCACGAAAACCTTATTTTGACTACACTGCTATAAGGGGTTAATTAACACATGACAAAAATTTGTCAAAAGATAAATTAAACTACAACTCAAAAAGACTCGTAATTAAATCATTTCTAATCAGACAAAGATTATACACGGAAAAAATTTATTCAGGGAACATTCCTGAATTAGTTCAAGAACGGTGGATATGAGAAAAAGTCGCTAAGATTTACGGATCAACTAGTTTAAAATATCATGTACACATTGCTTTGTTTTGTTAACAACAAGATAAATTTTAAAAATAATTTGTTTCTAAAAAGAAGAAAAAATTTTTAAATATCAAGGTCAGTTTTTAAAGAAGGTTTTATCACGAAATATTTAGAATTGAAAATTATAGGTACTAAAAAATATAGATAATCGAAATTAATTATAATTACAAGTATTGTACATCAGGTAAATCTATTAGTATACATTGTTGTAAATATATTTTAGAGAAATTTTTAAAAAACTAAAATAGGAAATTTTGAAAGTTTTTTAATTAATTTAATTAATTTTAATTTTATTATAACTCCAATTTTCGTTTAGAGTTCAGGAATTTTTCAGGCACAACAAGCAGTGATTGTTACTGTTTGGTAACACTAGAAATCTTTTTCAAAATAATGTGATTTTCTCGAAAAATCCAGAACCATTATTAATTTTTTCAAACTCTGTCTTGATCTTACCATTAGCATATCCTATTTCTACTATACTGTATCTAATATTTAAATCTTTCCTTTTAAGGTCAGGAATAATTCTAGAATGTTTTTAACTATTTCACTTAAAGTAAAAGTATTATTGTCGACTTTTTCTCATATCCACCGTTCTTGAACTAATTCAGGAATGATTCCTGAATAAATTTTTTCCGTGTACATATACTTGTATTTAAGTCTAGGGATACAGGACTCTCTTCTTATACCCAATGGGAAATTGCCAATGGTCACCATTGGCTAAATAATTGACCAATATTGGCTGCTAACAGTTTTTTTCTTGGTTAAACATTGGCAACCAATATTGGATTATTATTGCTAGAGTCTTGGGATGATCACGACTTTTCCAAGCATTGGCAGCCAATATTGGAACACTATTGGCTGCCAAGGCAAATAAAATAGGTCTTGGTTATTCATTGACTACAAAGATTGGACCAATATTAATAACCAATTATTTTTGAATTTTTCCAGAATTTTTCACGAAACAATTATCAACTCATTAATAAGTTCCTTCACTAAACGTGAAGCTGAAACCTACCATATCGACCAAGTTTCAAATTCTAGAAGTACCGGTATCTAAACCTAGACGTCACCGCCAAATCAATAAATAATTAAAAAATTAATTTAAAGCTATGAAAAAATGTGAGACTAACTCTGCTGGGGCTCGAAACCCAGGACCTATCAATTGCCGGTTGATTGCTCTTCCACTGAGCTACAGAGGTCCACCTCCAACTTGGTCCTCTGTAGCTCAGTGGAAGAGCAATCAACCGGCAATTGATAGGTCCTGGGTTTCGAGCCCCAGCAGAGTTAGTCTCACATTTTTTCATAGCTTTAAATTAATTTTTTAATTATTTATTGATTTGGCGGTGACGTCTAGGTTTAGATACCGGTACTTCTAGAATTTGAAACTTGGTCGATATGGTAGGTTTCAGCTTCACGTTTAGTGAAGGAACTTATTAATGAGTTGATAATTGTTTCGTGAAAAATTCTGGGAAAATTCAAAATTAATATGCAGAAGAATGCGAACCATCTTGACTATTGAGTCGATAAGGCTATGAAAATTTGTTGGAGGTGGACCTCTGTAGCTCAGTGGAAGAGCAATCAACCGGCAATTGATAGATCCTGGGTTTCGAGCCCCAGCAGAGTTAGTCTCACATTTTTTCATAGCTTTAAATTTATTTTTCAACCAATTATTTATTTTACGTATAGTTAGAGCTTCAAGAAAAACTGTTTTTTAGAAATTTTATGTGGCCACACAGTAAAATAATTAATAACAAATCTTTTTCCACATGAAATATATATATATTTGAAGAAAATATTCTAAAATTGTAGTAGGTAAATATGAAAAAACATGTGAATGATACAACATTTGCGTGAGCTTCTTAACCCGTTGACTGTCGCTGACGCATATATGCGCAAAACTAAACTGGCCAAAAGTGGTTCATGACGCATATATGCGCAACTTAAATAAGGTGATTAAAAACTTCTTAAATGTTCCTGAAACCGGTTACTCGAGGGTTTTCGAGATCGCTGATTACGAATATGACATTCGTTTTCCAAAATTCAAAATGGCGGATCCAATATGGCGGACAACAAAATAAAAAATTGATCAGATTGACTTTAAACGTAGTACTCTGGGGTTTTTGGGGTCGCTGATTACGAATCTGACATCAGTTTTTCGAAATTCAAAATAGCTGATCCAAGATGGCGGAATTTTTTTTAAATTTGTCGAATTTGCTTAAAACTTGTTACTCGGGGGTTTTAAGGGTCGCTAATTACGAATCTAACATTAGTTTTCCAAAATTCAAAATGGCGGATCCAATATGGCGGAGGACAAAATAAAAAATTAATTATAATGGCTTGAAACTGAATACTCGGGGGATTTTAGGGTCGCTGATTACAAATCTGTCATTATTTTCTCAGGGTATTTATTGAAATTTGATTTCACCAAGAATTATCATACTGATGTCAGATTAACCAGTTTAAAACAAATTCAATAAATTTTAGAAAATTTGCCAGCATATTAAACCAGATATTTTGAATTTTGAAAAACTGATTTCAGATTCGTAATCAGCGACCCTGAAAATCCCCAAGTATTTAGTTTCAAGCCAATCTAATCAATTTTTTATTTCGTTGTCCGCCATATTGGATCCGCCATTTTGAATTTTGGAAAAATAATGTTAGATTCGTAATCAGCGACCCTTAAAACCCCCGAGTAACAAGTTTCAAGCAAATTCGACGAATTTTGAAAAAAATTCCGACATCTTGGATCCGCCATTTTGAATTTCAAAAAACTGATGTCAGATTCGTAATCAGCGACCCCAGAAACCTTAGGGTACCAAGTTTCATAAAAATCCATTAACAATTTTTTGAACACACTTTTGGCCCAAACAGTGGAAATCTCGTTGACAGACAAGGGGTTAAATAAAAATGGTTTAGGTATATAAGAATCTGCAATTAGGGATACCAAAACATCCACAGCTACCAAGATTCATATAAATCAAATAAATTATGAAGAATTTGTCGTCTAAATTGCATCAGACATTTTATGTTTTCAAAAACTATATTCGTAATCAGCAAAATTTGAATGTTAATATAATATTTAAATTTGAGATTTTTGGGAAAAAACTTACATGCGCTTAAGCCATTATTTTTACCAGTGCTGAAACTAATTTCAAGTCTCGAATTGAAAAATCACACGATAACACTGACTCCAGATTTTAATGATGTCAAAACAATATTCATATTTACAATTTTTTAAACATTTTTGGCAATATTGGTTCAAGGCAAGTGTAATTAAGAATGAGAAGTTTCGAATTTAGATATTGGAACTATATTGGCTCAAGGTTCAAAAAGTGCACGTATGTTAAAACAATATTCAAATTTCAGACTACACTGGTCCCAATACTCGCAGAATTGTATCAATATTTTCCCAAAACGTGTGTATACCAATTACCAAATCTAGAATTTAAATATTGATCCAATATTCGATCAAGATTTAAAAATGTTTAAAATGATATTAAAATTTGAGATTTTTGTGCCAAAACTCAAAGATTTGAGCCACAAATTTTACTAGTATTGACCTAAGATTGCAAGTGCAGAAATCAATTCCAAGTTTCAAATTTAAATATTAGATTAATAGTGACCCAAGATTTCAATAATAAACACTTTAATATTGATTTAATTTAAAAATTTAAAACTTGGCATTAGTTTCTACATTCACAACCTTGGGCCAATAGTGGCCTAATCTTGACAATAGTTTTTCCAAGATTGTTCCAATCTTACGTCCATCGTGGGCGCTACTTTTGTTAGAAAACGTATCGAAAGTTTCTAAAATATATAATTACAAAAAAAAATGGAAAGTAGAAACAAAAAAGGAAGTAGAGAAATATAGAGAATTCTCCTCATCACCTTTTAAATCACGAGGAATGTTTTATTTCAGGAGGTGGAGCTGGAAAAACTAGAGACTTTAATTGCAGTGGAGCATGAAAGCGCTTGCGTAAAATACAATGAGTTGATTAAATCCTTAAAGCAGTATTGTTTGCACTATCTACATTTACTGGATACAGGCAGATACGAGGACGAAGGTGGTACAACTAGGCTCGACAAGCACCGCGTCAACTTATGTCGCGAGGAAATAAAATACATTTTAAAAATCATTAAAATCAACGGGCAACTCGTCAACAATAATTACATAAATATCGCCCTAACACATGCCTATCAGTTTCTCAAAATAATTCGAGATCTCTGCAATGATGTAATTTTTTAATTCTCCTTTAAGGTCATGTTATTCAGTGTGAAGTTTTTCCATAGTAAAGTATATGGGGCACGTGACCACTGAATAACATGACCTTAATGGCAAAATTTCTTTTTTCTAAAAATATTTTTTTGTGTGGAAAAATTCTAAACATTTCAGAGTAGAAATATTCCGAACACACGACCCGATCTGGCACTAACAGGGCTTGTTAGTAATTATAATGATTTGAACATTTTTTGGTAGAAAAGTTCCAAACGCACTGTTAAGTTGAAATATACAGATTTACTCTGAATAGTATTTATATTATCCAATTTTTAAATTTTCATTAGCATTATTGCATATACCTAAAGCAAATATTTATTTAAAAATATTTATTTTATCGAATTTTATTCAAAATAATTTTAATGCTAACGAATTATCAATTTTTTAAAAATTTCTTAGCCCTAATTATCATTTTTTATAATTAATATATTTATTTTACACTGTAAAAAAAGGAAGTTAAATTTTAACTCCCTAGGGGATTCTATAAAATTCGCACCCATTTGGGAGTAAGGCGAAGGAAGTTGGAAGAGAGTTGAAATTTACACAGTAAAAATAAGAAGTTATTTAATTAACTCCCTTTTGGAGGTTGATTTTTAACTCGAAAAATTTCACTCCCAACTACAGTGACCGTCAACTCTCTAAACTTTTTACAGTGTACAACCAGTAATTTTTTTAATCTTATACGTATAGAATTATAATTTCTTGTAATAATTAATATTTTTTTAAATGTTATTAATATTTAATAGTAAAACATCGGGGGTAATTTTTATTGCAGAGTCATACTCCTTAATTTTTGTTGCTCCTTTCTTTCGCTCTTCAAAATGAGGTAAAAACTACTCTTTTTTGTCTCTTTTTTAAATGTAATTTGCTAAATTGACAGTTTTTACAATTTTGAAAATTACAAATAACTATTATGTATTATTTTTTTATTATCAAAATTCTATTTTAAATTATCTTTCTTACTTTAAAAATTTGTAATCAATTAATTTTAACGAATAATTACGTATTATAATTTTTATTTTTGTAAATTTCTTTTGTCACAGTTTCTTCCAAATTAAAATTTCTCTAATCAACATTTTCTCAAGCGTTATTTATTTAAAAATTGTAATTTACAGAATTGTAATTAACAGAAATGACGTTCATTTTCTGCCTTGACCAAGAAACGCATGGGACCATGCATCATTTTCACCTAGGATAAAATTATTTATGATTATTTTTTATATGTAATAATAAAAAATTATGATTAGGAGCGAAACATTTTTATAAGAATTGGTAATTAGTTTATATTAACAGTACAGTAAAGTGAAAATTAAAAACAAAATTCATTCACCAGATTGCAACAACAATTTTAAAAAAGAATTTATTTTTTGCATTAAATCAGAATAAAATACAAAAGTGAAAAAGAAATAATCTTTTGCACTAAACTGTAATTTTTATTTGACTTATTTTGACTTCATAGTTATGTTGAATTGACAAAAATATATTTTTAGCCACAACATAATATGCCGGATATATTTATTTGGATGTTGGTGGGATCAAAGCGCGTGGCGTACGCTCGATTATCAGCGGCACAAATCATTTACACCGACGAGAATTTAGCACGTGGTCCAGAATGTGGAAAGTGCATAAATTTATTCATGAAAAATGTTGAAGACGAAAGCGATTCTCCAGATTATAACGCTTGTAAAATGGAAATATTTTTATGGTTGGGAAACATGAGATTCGTTGAACATTGCTGGAGTGCAATACCGCCAGGTTACGAGCTCGATCAACAATTGAACCTTGACACGTTTCCAGGATTTTTCAAATACAACGAGTCATCGGTACTTCATTTCTTCGTATTACTTTCTTTTTTCATCTCACTTTTTACATTCGCGAGTAGAATCTAAAATTTTCCGAAGTATTTTTTCTATCACCTCTGACTCAGATATTGATCACTTCAGAAAATAATAAATAAATAAAGTAAAAATAAAATCGAGATCGAAAGTTAAGAATATTTTAGTTAAAAAAATGATTTCTTGATATGAAAATTATTTTCTATACCGTAAACTGGGGCTATTAGGAACAGATTTCAATTTTAAAGGCATGTAACTTATTTGTGTATTGAAATATTGCCTTAATTTTTTTATTCTTTTCTTGATCTTGGCGAGCACAATGAAGGGTTAAAGAATTGTTTTGATCAAAGCTGGAATTTTGAGCTAAAAAGACGAAAAGGGTACATTTTTTCGAAATTACAAAATGGGGTTGTTAGGAAAAAGACGGTAAAAACTATTGGAAACGTATTTAAAGTTCAAGAAGTTATTGTTTATTGCTTGAAAGTACACACACAATTTAAAACAAATGTAAAAACGAAACTAAAAGAGCGAATGTGTATTTTAAACGTTGCTGATGGTATCATCAGTTGAGGTCGATGATGGAGTCACTGGTCGTTTTTTGCGACTTGTCGGTCCTAACACTCTTCTACAATTTCGAACCATCTATGAACACTAAAAACCAAATTAGGTGATAAAAAACAAAAGAAATTACGAAAAACTTACGTTTTGAAAACACACTTTAACAATTCGGAAGAAAGAATTGTGTTCCTTATAGCCCAGCCGATTGTGAATTTGGATTTTGTCTCAAATCTTACTGTAAATACAAAATAAGCATATTTATTACTTAGTAAACTCAATAAAGTTTCCTATAAGAAATCCCTTTAATAAAAAACAATCACTTTGAGAAGTTAAAACAGGGACAACTTACCTCGGCAATCAAAATAATGTTTTCCACGCTTGAAACTTCACTAAAATACATTAAGTCACTCACAAGCTACTACTGTTCACAAAATAATTAATAGTCACAATTATTGCATTGAATAGTATTGCCAGTTACCACAGCAACAATTTTTCAAACGCAAGTAACACAATTTATCGATACACAGCGCCGATAGCATCAACTCCACCCGAAAACAGAATTTTATTTCTAATAGCCCCAGTTTACGGCACCTAAATAATTTAAATTTATTTATTATCAACGTTAATCATTTATTATTATTATACTAGCAAAAAACGCGCGCGAATTTGTGGACCTGTGTTATTTTTTCTTTTTACCATTATTTAATTATTTAGAAGTAATTAATAAAACAATAAGAAAAAAAATTCATAAATAAATAGTAAATGATCAAATATAACCCACATCACCACATCCACACTCACTTTCTTTATTCGCAATTATTATTATAATAATAATAAAGTACAAGTGACATAATCTGTCTGTCCGCGTTTCTGAGAAAAGTATAAGTGATTAGATAATTTTTTAATGGACTTCCTAGACGTAATTTTCATTGTAAAATAAGCAGAAAAGGTAAAAAAATGACAAAAAATTTTGTCAATTCGCGCTCTCGAGAAAAGTATAAGTATTTAGATAATTTCTGAATTTTTATCCTGATTGTATTTTTTGTTAAAATGGCGGCTGTTTAAACGCTTATATTTTTCTCGAAAGTGCAGAGAGACAACATTTTTGTCATTTTTACTGTTTTTTGAATTTTTGACCACTTTAATCTCCGAAATCACAATGTTTGACCTCTTTTGCATAATCTACGATAAAAACTTCGTCTGGGAAGGTCATTCAAAAATTATCCAATCACTTATATTTTGCTCGGGAACGCGGACAACTTATTACTTACAAAATTAAATAAAAGAATTAAACAAACAAACTTTAAAAATATAAATAATATAGAAGACTAAATTAGCCAAAAATATTATTTATTTAAAGAAATGAAAAAACTTAAACAGTAAAAAGAAAAAAAAAAGAATGAAAGTAATATACTCTTTGAGAAGGAAAATAAAATTCTTTAAAGCTTATATGTAGGCTTATATCTATGTTTTTACACAAACAGTTGAGACTCTAAAATCCTCGCGTCACAAGGGACTTATGACTCTTTTGTGAAAATCAACGTTCTTAAAACGTAATAAAATAAATTACAGAAATTCCAGTTACGAGCTCACATATTTCAAGGGCACTTTGAACCCGGAATGGACACCTCGGGCTTATTGGATCCATTGGTGCGAGTTTTATTTTACGGCTACACCTTGACGTCGACAGTAAGTCGCGAGATATACTTCATTAAATCTAAATCAATAATTAGTTATCAAATAATTTTAAAAGGTAAGTTCAGCAAAGAAATGTATTAATTTTTATTAACCTATTCATGCTCATGGGCATACTAATAAACACTGACGCAAACCAACTATTAGAATTACGATATTAGGTCGAAAACATGAAGAAACCAATTTAATATATTTTTTTTATTTGTTTTTGTTTATTTATAATTTTAAAGACAATAAAAAAAAATTTTTCGCAGTTCAATAAACGGAACTGAGGAGCAAGCGGCCAAAAGTTGATAAGTCCATTTTTTAAAAAATTTTTACTTTACACTTTTCGAGAATGATAATTAATTGAATTTTCAAATAATCACTGTTGTATTAAGAAAAAAAATTGTTAGTAAAGAATTATATTAATTTAAAAATATTTGTACTTAACCAACAAGATTTAAAATTTTAGTTTTTTTAACTAAAGAAATGCCCAAAATTATAAATTTTTTATTTATAATTCACTTTAATTAATAATGAGATTTCTGAGTCCAAAAAATTATTCTGATATAAATAATTCAGTACATATTTTTTATATTTTGAAATTAACTTTGGTTATGTGTCAAATTGCATTTGTTTAAATTTCTCGAAATAGTAGAAATGGACTTATCCACTTTTGGCCGCTTACTCCTCAACTATTATTGGTTTTAATTAATTAAGGGTCTAGAATAAAGAACCAAAAATTATTACACTGAAAAAAAAGAATAGTTGTGGTAACCATTTTTCCCAACATTATTTTTAGATAGTACACTATACTGTTGCTAACTTATTGGTTGGTGTTACCATTTTTATTAGTAAACTCAACTTTTTTATTAGTTGATTCAACTACTTTTTTTTTGGTCTACGTATTTAATTGGTTATGTTACTAACTAAATGGCTGGAGTTACTAACAAAATAGAAACAGTAACACTGAGAGAAATGGATGGTAAGATTTTTATGTTAAAAAGCAAATGTTACCCGGTACCATCATGTACATCATTATGTACCATCAAAGATGTTACAAGAATATGGTTATGTTATCCACTACCATCAAGATGTTACTCAGTACACTGAGAAAACTGGAGAGTCAAATTCAGAGGTTCAAAAAGTGTATGTTTTCTTTGCTTATGAAGAGAGTTAAATAGTTCAATTCTAAAATAAATTTTGAATTAATAATGGAAATCTACTTGTATATGAGGCATTTTACGTGAAATGTCCTAAGTTGAAATTTCAACTTCTTGAAAAAAATTGAAACTCAGGGAATTTGTCGTTCTATCAAGTAGAAATGTGCCCCAAAAAATATTTTTGATTTTTTCGAAAATTTGGAGGGGGCAGAGGGGGGTCAATTTGACCAATTTTGCTAACACCGGCTACTTTGTGAATTTTTTCTGAACATACTTGTAATGGGAAAAATTTTTTAGAATATGTTTCTGAAAGGTTTTTTCGTCCTCTTTCCAATGATGCATTTTATTTTTTAATATTTTAAAAATTTACCCTAATTTTTGATAATTAATATTTAATTTTCAATTTCCCAAAAATCGGTCCGTTTTTTTTGAAAATAAATTATTGCAAACGAAAGCTGAGGTTTTTTCCTATCGGCATGTAAATTTTCAGAATGCCTTTTTTTTGTTTTTGAGTTATTAAATTTCAAAGAATAAATTGCGGCGCGCTGCGTCGCGGTTGCACTGAGCCGCGTTGCAACCGGCGTGAGACGAGGCGCCCGGGACGCAATTTATTCTTTGAAATTTAATAACTCAAAAACAAAAAACAAGGGCATTCTGAAAATTTACATGCCGATAGGAAAAAACCTCAGCTTTCGTTTGCAATAATTTATTTTCAAAAAAAAAGGACCGATTTTTGGGAAATTGAAAATTAAATATTAATTATCAAAAATTAGGGTAAATTTTTAAAATATTAAAAAATAAAATGCATCATTGGAAAGAGGACGAAAAAACCTTTCAGAAACATATTCTAAAAAATTTTTCCCATTACAAGTATGTTCAGAAAAAATTCACAAAGTAGCCGGTGTTAGCAAAATTGGTCAAATTGACCCCCCTCTACCCCCTCCAAATTTTCGAAAAAATCAAAAATATTTTTTGGGGCACATTTCTACTTGATAGAACAACAAATTCCCTGAGTTTCAATTTTTTTCAAGCAGTTGAAATTTCAACTTAGGACATTTCACGTAAAATCCCTCATATTCTCTCCCATTATATCTGAGGGTTAAAAGTTGCGCAGAAAATGTGTACGATCTGATGCGCGCGAACTTATTTTTGTGACATTTTATGTATATTTAATTTATGGGTTAGGTTGCCATATTTATTCATTTCGCGCCGGATAAGGAAGGGATTTCTCAAGATGATTAATTTGTCCCTCTGTTATAAACTCATTTTCCCTCCAAGAGAAATAACACGAATATCTGTCAATGGTGTATTTGAATATTTAGATTGTTATCCAATAGTCAACTCTCAAATATGAACGATTAGTCCCTCCAAATGTTTAGTCCAATCCTCCAGTTTTCTCAGTGTACAATCTAGATAGCTGTCCGTATTTGAAGCATCAAATAGTATCCCGTAACGATTTTGAACTTAACGATACTCTATTTTGGTTGACTAAAATATATATTGGACAAGAATAATAGTGTTCGAGCAGGTGGAAGCAAATTTTAATTTTCATCAGGTGAAAAACGATAGGCAACAATTATAAGAAATTTTATTTTTTTTGTTTATTCTTTTCTCAAATAAATTATTACAAGTTTAAAAAGTTCAAAAATATTTTAAATTACAATAATGAATGTTTCATCATGACTTTAAAAATTTTTGTAATGAGTTTTGCTATAAATTATATACTTTTGAAGACCAAAAAAACATGAAAATTGAGGGACACTACTGAGATTTTTGAAATATTTCACTGATAAATTTTTTTGAATGATGAGAACAAAAGCAGCTTATAAATTACAAACCAATATCAGATTTTCACTAACTGCATATAAGAAGTAAATTTAACACAAATTTATTCAAAATAAAATAATAAGTTGCAAGAAACAGAATTTTAAGGGGACACCACTGACATTTTGCTTCATTTCTCAATTTCGAAAAAGAAAGACTTTATTTTTAAGCTAAAATCTTTGCGGTATTCAAAGTACGTGTAATAACTGAAAATGAGATACAATAATATTTAAAAAATATTAATAATATGAACAATTTTTTCTCCAACGCCTGCTCTAAAAAGAATACTTTTCTTATTAGAAAAGTGTGGCGAAAGTAGAACTTTTCTTAACTCCTCTGAAGAGCGTGGTGAAAGTAAATTATGACCTAATTTTTTTTTCTTGTTCTTTGACCGAGATATATTTTGTGTCTAACTTCTTCCCCACTCAAAACATTCGTCTTTTAATATAATAAGCAGACGTTAAATTAAAATTATACGAAACTGCCGAAGAAACCTTTCCTCGCAAGGCGTTGGAGAAAACGTAGTGCACAACACGTAGTGAAAGAATGATTTATCTCGAGTGATTGCTGCTCTCGCTACGCTCGAGCCGCAAACTTCAATCTCGAAAAATCACACTTTCGCCACTAGTTGTGCAATGCACTATTTATGGGGACACCACTGACATGGTGTGCTCGACAAAGCGATACTTTCTTTCTTCCACCAACCGTACAAGTTATAGATGTGATAGAATGTTGTAATATTTTTTCTTTTAGAAGCTATACATATCACCAATATTATTAACGCTTAATAAAGTAATTATCTGCACTAGGCTATTGAAATATCAGGTATGATATTCAAAATTTGCGATAATTATACTTAAAAATATGAAACTTATGGACAGGCGGTTTTGATTTTTTTTCTAGCACTGGATAAAAATTATTCTGTTAGCAAAATTAAAATATTAAAATATAGACTCTTCGTTGTGCATAATGATTTTTCTTGTAATAAAAATGTGAGAAACAACCATTTTTATTATTAGTTAAAGTTCTGATTTTTTAAGTGCGGACAAGGGACACCACTGACATTTTGCTTCTTATTCTTCTGCCAAATTTTTTCAAAGAATTTCTAGCGACTAAGAATTGTTAATTTAAGTAGAAGGAGTGATTAAGAAAATTAATTGACTTCAAAAACTTTTATATATGAACTAGTATTCCAGATTTTTAGCCAGGACATGAAAATGACATTTTAAATTTAATCACCCGTACATAGAAAAAACATTCTTGCACATAATATTAATAATGACAATGATAAACCACCCCTCACCTATAAAACCACCCATAAATTTTGTTCATAAGGGTTGAAAAAATATTTAAAGATTCTGATAACTCCAAAATAATTTATAAATCTTATTTTATTGCTTTAAAATGTATAAAAAAGTAAATAACCTTTTAAAAACAACCTTTAAATTAAGAAACTACCCCATAATGTTTACATTATTTATTTACATAAAAAATTTATGACATCCTAGAAGCTTCAAAATTTCCAATAATAGTTTGCACTTCCTTAAAAACGAGTCCTTACTCATGTTAGTCCGGAATCAGTTACCTGGAGAACCCTCTAGTAACAAATTCCAATCAAATCCGTTAAGTTTTTCAAAAAGTGCTGATTACGAACCGAATTCGTAATCAGCATTATCAAAAATTTTCTAGAGACAAGTTTGAAGCAAATCCGTTAATTTTTTTAAGAAATCGGCAGCCATATTGGATCCGCTATTTTGAATTTTGAAAAATTGAAACCGAATTCGTTATTAACATTCTCAAAAACCCCTGAATGACAAGTTTTAAGCAAATCCGACAAGATTTTAAAAAGTTGTCAGCCATATTGTATCCATCATTTTGAATTTCAAAGTTCAGACTTAAAATACGTAATTGCCGATAAAGTATGAAGAATTCATTAATATTCTTAAATTAAATAGTGCTAGATCTTACTTAAAATGTCAGGAATAAAAAAACTACAAACACATAATATTTGAGTGTGGTATTCTT